TTCCTGCTGTGGTAATAGTAAATTCAGAATTTTCTCAAGTTGTTTGTTGTTGTAAAAATTAATTCTCAATTTATGAAGTTGTATGAAATAGCTAGATCGAGCTATATCTATAATGTAACTTGAAGTATTTCTATTTGATTTTATATTTTGAATCTACAATTTCAGTTCTCTAATTTCTTTTCACTTCTGGTTCTTAAAATAATCTGGAAAATATCCTTAATTCGTGGACTTTTATTCTTAGAAAAGTGAACATCAGCCAAAGTTGTGTATTTTTCCCATTTTGGTTGGGTATTAGAAAGCTAATTGAGCTGAAGACATGCTAGAGTTAAGGGAGAGATTAATTATCAAAACATTTTTACTCGATTTTCTTCATTTTTTGCCTGCAGTTGATAAATCATGGTATTCCAAGTACATCTCTTAGGAATATGGGGAATCAAGTTCAAAGATTTTTTGAGCTCCCTTTACAAGAGAAGAAGAGATGGGCACAGAGATCAGGAAGTCTTGAAGGCTATGGCCAAGCATTTGTAACCTCTGCAGACCAAAAGTTGGATTGGAATGACATGATCTTCCTCAAATGCCTCCCCATTCAGAACAGAAAATCGGATTTGTGGCCTCAAAACCCTCCTGAGTTTAGGTACATGATTACTATGTACCCGAAACTGAAGAGCATATTGATGCAAATTAGTGTTAGAATTTTTTTTTTATCAGTCGGAATCAAATGCCAGCACCAAGGTTAAAAATTAAGACTTTATGTATACTACTACAACTTAGGCTAACCCTTGTGGTTCAATTAGTGGTAGAATATTTTGATAAATCAAATAAAGAATTGCCTTAGGTCAGGATATTTATCAGTTTATGACATTATCTGTCAGGAAATGCCTCTACTTAGAGAAAAATTAGCTCTTAGCCAAGAAAATTATTCTATATAATAGCTCCACATTAATATAATGTGCTGGAGAGGATTCGGCAAATATTTTTCTTGTTTCCTTTCTCATATAGTCATATCATTCCTCTCATGTTTTTATTAGGAAAGTGATTCCAATGCAAAATATCTATTCTAATTTTTGTAAGGGTGTCCTTTTGCATTTGGTTATCAGGGAAACATTAGAGATATATTCTGAAGATATAAGGGAAGTTACAATTTCTCTTGTGAAGTTCATTACTATGTCTTTGGGGCTTCAAGACACACAGATATCAGAAAGTTTCCGAGAAGGACTATATGAAATAAGGATGAATTGCTACCCACCCTGTCCAGAGCCTGAAAGGGTACTTGGGATTGTGCCCCATGCTGACAATTCCGGGATCACTCTTTTGCTTGATTGTGCTGATTTTCCAGGGTTGCAGTTCCTCAAAGATAAAAAATGGGTCAATGTTGAACCTATAGAAGGGGCCATTGTTGCAAACATTGGCCAAATTATTGAGGTTAGTACTTAATTGTGACTCGTTAGGCAGCACATTCAACCTCAGATAGATGATTGCAGGTTTGTTACCGATCAATTAAATGGATATAGCAATAGCATTGTTGCATTATATGTGATCTAGAATTGCCATCACATTTTGTGATTTGAAAAATGAGATTTAGTCAAGGAAAAAATTTACACTGATCAGAAATCATTATTCGTATGATTCGTAAGATAGTTATTGTGAAAAATAAAAAACAATAAACTTACCAAACACAACAGTTAGTAACTAGGAGTCTATTTAGATATAAATTAAAAGTGTTTGAGAGGTTTCTCTACTAAAAAAAGTTATTTATTTTCAATAGAAAAATTCTCAAATTTTTTTTTATTTGTATTCAAACAGACTCTAGATGTAACACTTGGAGTGCATACCCTATTTAATCAAAAATTAAAACAAAAAGCTTGAGTGTGTTGGTTGTTTTTCCATTATGCAGGTGATGAGCAATGGGATATACAAAGCACCTGAGCATAGAGCTGTAGTAAATAAGTTGAAGGGGAGGTTTTCAATAGTGACATTCTGCTATCCAAGCCCTCACATGGCTATTGGACCTTCTGACAAGCTTATAGGAGAAGGAAATGCAGCTATATTCAAGAAATTGACACATGCAGAGTATTTCAGCAAGTTTTTCAATAGGGACCTTGATGAATTGTTTATTGATAGTCTGAGAGTATGATCAATGATGTGATTTCTATAGTGCTCTACCAACTGAGCTATATCGCCCCGAACCAAGTCAGTTTGCATGTTTGCAGATGCTGACTGAGATTGCTCACAAGCCTCTAGAATGAACTGATTATGTTTATGATACCAAACTCATAACAGTAGGGCTACAGCCAGATAGACTGTAGTTTTAGAGTTTTGTAGGCATTCTGTACATATGTGCATGGCATTTGGAAGGAATGAAGTCAAGGTGAAGGGCTACTTTACACGGTTTGGACACATTTTAAGTGCACTGATGGATACACTGTTTGCTTTGGACTGAATGAAAAGATACTATTAGCATGGACTGAATGAAAAAGTGTCAATGTTTGCTTTATGGTTCAACACGTTTTTCCATCAATGAAATGGTCCTTAAATTCAACATAATTCATATGTAAAAGAATCATGAATCAAGAGCTTCTTGATCTTGGTTAAAATTCATATGGATACTTGGTTGATTTTTTATATTGACCAAGGTTGTTATTTCTCGATATATATTGCATTCATTGATTGCTTTCTATAGTTGCTTTGCATCTATAAAAATTTTACTATACCACAGTTTTCACAGCAATATTTAGAACTTGGAACCTGTCTTTGCTGTGCAAATTAAATTACATTGTAAACTCATTCGTATTTAGAATAAAGGCACGCTTAAATTTTCACTTTAAGAAAATCAAACAATTAGTTTATTCAACAAAAAGAAACTCCGGACATAGGAAGAAAAAATATGAATGGAAAAAATAACCAAGTTCTACATCAATATCAATACTAATAATTAAACCAATGACAAGCAAGACAAATTCAATCCAACTTAAATAGTTTCAAGTCATTCAACCCCCATCCCTTCTAATAGGTTTGAAACAATCAAGATCAAAATAAGCTGAGGAATGAAATCATGTATATGACCACATCTTTCATTACCCATATTGAACAGAAAAGCATTGCAGATTCTTTCTTTTTGTGTATCATTACTGTTGTTCGTCTTCACTTGGTTTCTAATAGTCCCCGGGGAGTGATAGCAAACTTTCTCTATACAAAGTACAACGTCCAAAACCAAGTTTGTCAGTGTAGTCACAATACTCAAGCACCTCACCTTTGTAGTTAAGTCTCAACAACATTTTATCGACATTTAATACCAAAATTTCCCCATTTTTTGTCAAACTTATCGGGTAATTTAGAGGGGTCACGCGTGCACGATGAGTGGATAGAACAAATAACTTGATCCAAGATGACTCCACTTTGTATTCCTTCATCACCCACATTTCAAGCTTTCTCCCATCAAATACGGAACTGAAACAAAAACACAGACACTCACCTATTCCCTTCAAAGGATATATTTGTCTCGTAAATGCAATGCCTAAATCACGTGGCACTGGAATCTCTGATAACCTCTTTTCTCTCATATCAAACGCAATAATCACATCAACACGGTTTATCGACTTAACCAACCAATGAAGAGCTCCATTCAAAAACTCTCCGTATCTGAATTCTTCACCATCAAGATAATACAATCATGAAACTCGTGCTCCATGAATTGGTTCTGAGAGAGAAAAAATCAACCACCGTGCGTTGTAGAGCAAATGTTGTAACCACTATCACATAGTCATCACTTGATGAGTCATACGCAACCCCATATAGTGGTGGAGCCACGGACATAAATTCTAATTTCCTCAACCAATATGGCTGTAGCATCAATCCATGATATTTAATTTGTTTCTGAATACCCGTTGACGGATTCCATATTACAAAATTTAAAACATCCCTTTCTGCGTTGGCTTCCAAAAGTATAAATCCTCCACAAGAACCCACAATGTTTACCTCGCAATAAGGCAGTGATGGAAGAGGAATATTGAACACTACTTTGGCAGAATTATCATGAAATGGTGTCTCCATGTCTATAGAGCTAAATTCATTATTGGTAACAAAATTTAAAAGTCTATGAGTGGGTGCAGCGGCTAAGTCAAAATGAGATTTAGTAAATTGAGGATTGGAAATAAGAAAAAACCATAACTTACAAACACATTTGGAACGCAAGAGAGATTTGACTGGTAGCCTTAACAGAATATTTGTGATCAACTCAATAGGGAAAAAGACGTTCCTCTTCATCTTCTTTGCCAGCAACCAAGTGTTCAAAGATGTACTGAGTATAGTCCAAACCAAAATATATAAAGGTGGAGTAGGGTTTTCTATTTCTGTTACAGAATAATTATACGGTCAATATTTTTTTTTTTAAACATTGGGAGGATATAATATTCCATTAAAAAGTGATTACATCTTCTAATATCTTTTTTATAATAGATATAGATGTGCAAATCTGCAATCAGACTAAGATTTTATCAATTTTTTCATTTTATTTTACAAAAACTATATTGAACCTTTAGTGTTTATTGAGGTTTAAATATTATGGAAATTAACCAAGTTTTGATTTCAACATGTAATTTTTTTTATATCTTTTTAAAATTTGTAAACATTATTTTAGTTTCTACAAATCAAATATTTTTTTTATCCTTATCAATGATTTTAATATTTTTTTTAAAAAAATTATCTCTCTAAAATCATTATTTTTTTTATTCCTATCAATAATTTTAAGGTATATAAATAATATTTATTTTAAGGATTTATGAAACCTTTTAAAAGTGTAACATACTAACATGGTATAACTAATAGTTGTGGATAACAACTCATATGGTGACTTTTTAATAAACAAATAAGTAGTTAAAAATAGTTACATAATAGTGAAAACTAAAAACAATAATATTGTTATATTTTAGTGGGATGAAAAACAAAGAAATTATTTTACAAAAATCAAAATATTTTTTTTTTCATCTTATAAGAACTAAATATATTTAAGTCTTTTATTAATCCTTTATTATGATATGTTTGGTTAGATGGAAAAAAATAAGAAGGAAAGAAAACACGGATCATGATATGTTCTCTTTTATTTAGTTGGAGAGAATAAAAAGAAGAAAAAATATCATATAATAATTTTATCCAAATTTTTTTATCATAATGTACATCAAACATTAAATTAAATTAAAATTTATCTTATTCTTATTTTATTCTGCTCTCACATCATATTTTATCTTATTATGAACACCAAACAATGTAACACTCTAATTTTTTATACTTTATATAAATAATATTTTTAAAATTATTTTAATATTTAATGTATTTATTTTAGAGTTTTGATATTATTTAATTAATTATATGAGTTTTATCTTATTTATGAGACATGATTTATAATGATTATTTTGATTAGTGATAAATAATTAACTTTTATGAAATATATTTTATTCATAATACGTAGTATTTATTTTAATATTTTTATGTGTTTATTAGAATAATTTTTAATATTATTTAGCTATTTGATATGAGCTTTATTTTTTATATAAAACATATGTTGTTTTTACTAAAATGGATAAGTATATTTTATATTATTTATCTATTTTATATGAGCTTTATTTAAAATATAAAACATGATTTTTAATTAGTATTTTGATTAATTGATATGGAATGTATTTTTACGAAAATATATTTTAATAAGAGTTATGTTTATGTTATTTATTAAAAAGTAGGAAATATGTTTTAATTATTTTAATTGTTTTATGAGAAGGGAAAGAAGGGTGTGTTAGTCTTTTGTTTATTATTATTATATTTTTCTCATTTCACGCTCTCACTTCTCATTCCTTATTACGTGCTCTCTGTTATGTGCTATGAAGAACAAGAAGAATCAGGAGAGGAATAATCGAACTCTGCTCGTGCTTCATCTTCCAATTAACAAGGTAAGGGGGAGTGAGAAACCTCACTCGGGGTGTAGAAATAATTGACTTTCAATCCTCTGTGGGTCCCTACGAGAAACCTATGAGGAACTGATAATTTCGAAAATAGATAAGTTTTAAGCTATGTTTGAAGGTGCTAATGGTGTGAGAATTGTCTTATTATGGTGTTGATGCAAGTGGTGTATATATTTTTATGAGTATGATGAGGACAAGAATCTCCAAATGATGATCTTATGAGTATGACTATGAGAAATGCGAAATGTGAGCAAGTGACATGAGACATGATGTGATATGATATATGAAATGTTGAGTCTATGAATTTGTGAATGTGTGACATGCATCATGCGTTTATGTGACGGGATACGATATGGAGTATATCATTAGGGAAAACCCTCTAAGTGTGAAACATCTTGGAGGAGTCCTAGGGGATAACGCTGTTTGTGTGCATGAGATATGTGACTGGTACCACATGCATGCATTTAAGAGTTGAGTCCATGACATCATTGCATGATAAATGAATGTGCATGCTGTAACATCCCGAATTTTCTACTAGTATAATAGTTAATTACTATTTATTTTTATATTTATGGAGGTTATTTTCTTATAGTTATTTTAATGGGTTTTATAGAATGCTTTAAAGGTTTTTAATAATTATTAGTATTTTAATAATAAATATTTATGAAAATCATTTTCGGTTAATATTTTGATTTTTAGTAGCCTAGAACAGGCCGTTCCCAAACTGGAACGAGTCGTTCCACACTACTAAAATAGCCTATAAAGGATATATTGAAACGAGACGTTCCAACACATAATTATGAGTAAAACATGTTTATTTTTAAAATTAAACACATATTTACACTCCGCAAATATCAAGGAACATAATAGAAAACTCAGGAGATAAAACAGAAAACATTTGCATTTTGCCTGTTTCTCATAGGGTTTCCCGTAGGAACCCATAGAGATCTCAAATTATACATTTATATTTAGATAACATGCAAAATTTGTCTATTTTTCATAGGATTTCCCATAGGAACCCACGAAAATCTCAAATCATATAATTACAATTTTAAAACTGAAATTAATCATTCATTCAAGCAATTCATACAATTAATTACATACAAAAGGAACAATAGATGAAACAGATATAATTGGGGAAACCTCTTCATACATGAGCATACAACAAACACAAGATTGGAGGCCAATCCCACTGTCCAACATACATTCCCACACCCAAAGCAAGGTTTCTCACTCCCCCCTTACCTCGATAAGCAGGAGCTGAAACCAAAACAGGATCTTGCTGATCTCCTCCTCTGAGTTCCCCTTGGTCTTCAGAGAGTATAGAAGAAAAGAGGTCAGAAGTGAAAAAATGTCTTTTTGGAGTGCCAAAACGTTCTATTTATAGGCATCAGTAGTTGCTAGAACAACCCGTTTCAAATCTGGAATGGCCCGTTCTGGACTCATACTTCATGTCCAAAATTCACATTTGGAACGGTCCGTTCCATAATCAGAACGACCCGTTATGGATATGAGTTTCAACTCACAACAACCACATTTGGAACGGTCCGTTCCCAAATCGGAATGGCCCGTTCCGGGTTCGAGGTTTACTCAAAGAATCATGTGTTGGAACGACCCGTTCCAACCTAGTCTTTTTAGGCCATTTTAGTAGTCTGGAACGGCCCGTTTTGGGCTACTAAAAAAATCACAATATTATCCAAAATAATTCTCATAAATATTTATTA